AGTATTCTGTGTTTGATTCACTTACACTTTACAGTTGTGGCGCAAGTGACCGTAATGCGTTTGGTCTTCTTTCTTCTGAAGATCCTCTATTCCTTTCGTCAAAGTGTACCCAGGCTGATTCAATTACTTTAGAACCACACTTTGATGGAATAAAACTAACCTTCTTACCTTTTTTATATACTGTTAGTTTCACTCTAACATATTAAATATTAGGCCTATGTCAATCGTTAGGCCTATCACATCTACGTTACTTAACTTTACACCAACTATATTCTCTTTGCTTTTATCTGTCTAATACTGTCTGTCTGCTGCTTCCCGTTCGTCTCACGCTATTTATATCTTTATTACATAATCATCTGGCCACTTTCTATATTCTCGACACCGACTAGTTATTAACAAAACCTTCTACAATCGTCTCCTTTTAACTCTTATTATAACAAAACTTAAAAATAATAAGGTATTCACCCACAAATATAAATTAATCACTAATATTTAAACCAAACAGTCTTTTATATCATGACATAAACAGATGTTCTAAATAAACAAAACACCAACGATGGAGATTTAACAGTCCTTGTTTTTCAGTACTTAGTGAAACAATTATTGGCATTTATTCTGAGATTTTTTTTATTATAGTTACAAATGAACAGAAACAACTTACCCAAGAAACAGCTTCAGCTCTTATGGCAGAGTTATACTGTAGTTCTGACCGCAGATGTTCTCGAGACACTAATAATGGAGACTTAGCAGCAATTTCCTTCACTCCCTCATACCATTCCTGTGGCCATAGCCCTGAAAATAATGAAGTTACATTTAAAAAATATGAAATCACAGCCCCGAAAATAATGAAGTAGCATTCAAAAACCTGAAGTCGTAGCACTGAAAATAATGAAGTTACAAAACCTGAAACCAGGGCCCTGAAAATAAGGAAATAAAATTCAAAAACATAAAGCTATTGCCCTGAAAATAATGACTTAACATTCAACATCTTGAAACCATAACTCTGGAAATCATAAAGTAATATTGAAAAAACCCTGTAGCCACAGCCCTGAAAATAATGAAGTAACATTCAAAATTCTGAAGACAAACTCTGGTGAAAAGTTTCAGAATGATTAGTTAAAAGGCAAGATACAACCACTATTCCCAATTAACTTACTATTGGTTATACCTTTAAGAATAATAACAGTGTTTTTTATCTCAGGCCATTTGCTTCTCACACACTAGAAACTTCTTTAACAGTTTAGTGTGTCTCATTTATGCTATTTATTTAACAAGACAATACCAATGATGAAAATATATAAGAACTAATAATATCAACATGAAGTATAGTATGTGATTTCTATTTTATAACACAAAATTTGCTCTTCCTATTGATTATTGTTTAATGAAAGTAGGATTACTTACCATTAAACTGATGTGTGCCATGTGTGACTCACTGGTATTAAGCATCTTTCTCACATATTACTATATTACTAATACATTTCAAGACAGTTTTAAATGAAAACAAGTTCTTAAGCATGTTTTGGGTTTAGTATTGAAGTTTTAATTTGTATTAATCATAAATAAGGGTACAAACAAAGTTCATAGTTAAATTTGACAAACAATTCTTGGTTTTAATTTACCACATTGTTATCACTTCTTATTTCCAACTGAAATGTTGTTTATTATACAGATCAGTTCTCAAAATGTTTTAAGTTTTTCATTCTTTTACATCAGAAACCATATGCAAATATGCAATATCATATCAGAAAAGAAACACCAGAACTTCTCTGAATTTATTGTTTTGTTTAAGAAAAACAAGTAAAATAACATTTCTTACCAGATTCTGTTGTGAAGCCCATAACAACACAGTACAACCAGAAATCTCGAAAAAGTTTCAAGAGCCGAGGTTTGGGGTTACTTATTAATGGAAGTCGTTTGATTAACTGAAGAAATAAAATGAATGAACATATCAGAAACAATTAAATAAAATACAAGCAAGACACTTGAAATAAAAAAATTATGCAACTATTAATAATGGCTGGAGACGGCTTGAATGGGTAATGAAGAAAAACGTTGTACATTTGCTGTTAAAGTTTTTCTT